CGTGTTGTCCTCTAAGGCCCTCATTTGTTGAGACGAGATTAACTTCCCTTTCCCATACTCCTCTGCTGTCATAATCAGCATTGTATGCTTCGCAGTCTGGTTGATAACTAAATGGAGCGGTGGGGCAAGTGCGCATTGCCCCAGTGACGCAGACGCAGGCAAGTCTTTGCAGCTTCGATAGTTGAAGACCTATCGAAGTCTATGCTGCTTTCTATGCCCAGACCACCGCTCCATAAGTAACAATAGGCCTCACGATCATGGTGTACAGCCACCTGATGATACTAGGCTTGAAGCCCCAGGATCTGCCGGCCAGGTGTCTGCACACCATGAGTGCCTTTGTGACTTTAGATATCGTTAACTCCACATGCCTATTCCACCGCAAGGTGGAGTCCAGTGTGATGCCTAAGTATTTTACTTCCCTGGACACTCTCTGCCCCCAAGGGATAGTATTCTAAAGCCCGGAAGAGACCTTCTTTTTGTGAAAGGGATTACGGTTGTTTTTTGCGGGTTAATGCTCAATCCTACCGTATCACACCATCCCTTTGCTAGGCTTAGGCCCTTTTGGACTATGTCGCAGAGAGTGTTCTCAAATTTCCCTCTTGCCATTATAACAATGTCGTCGACGGACTCCTGGCACCGAATTCCATTGTTCGTCATAAAAAGGGTGACAATACCCCACCCTGAGGGCAGCCTCTCGTAGTACCAAGACGTATCTTGCTCTCCCCCACCGTAGTTTCTGCAACCCTAGTATGCAGTACGGCCTTAATCCATCTGCATAAAGGAGCTTCCACGTTCCTTTTCTCCAGTGCTCTGATCACGCTTGCGTGGGACGCATTATCAAAAGCACCTTCAATGTCTAGGAAAGCACATATCGCAACCTCATTGTTCTCCAGCGAGTTCTGGATTTCGTAGTTAGTTGGTACAGAGCAGTATTAGTAGACCTACCTGCTTTGTACGCGTGCTGATTTGCATGCAGAGGTACTTTTAGTGCATTCGGTCATATATGGTTGTCTCTAATCTTTTCCATACCTTTTAGCATGAAGGAGGTGAGACTAATAGGGCTGAAGAACTTGGCTACTGAATAGTCCTTCCTTCCTATCTTGGGTATGAAGATTACCTTTGCTACTCTCCACGGTGGTGGGATGTACACCAACGCAAGGCATCTCTCATCAGCCCTACAAGGTGCGGCAACAGAGCTTGCCCACCTTGCTGTAGAAGTGCTGGGAAGATGCCGTCAGCCTCTGCCGACTAATATTTCGAGAAGGAAGCCAGTGCCCACTTGATTGAGTCTGCATTGAATAACTTCTTTGCAGCTGTCCAATCTGAGCGATCTGGCTTATGTGCGACCACTGGTGGAATTTGGTCGTCCCGAATAGTCTCCGGGAAGTGCTCAATCAAGAGTGCCATTGCCCTTTCATTTGCGTTTTGCGTATAGGTCCCATAAAATCTTTTTATGGCTAATGCTGTGTCAGTCTTACCTCTGGCCAGAGCCTTGTGCAGTCTGGCTGCCTCTGGGGTTGAGGAGACATTTTCACAGAATTTCCTGAAACCACTGGTTTTTGCAGACCTAATTTCCTTATTATAGGTTGTTGGCTGCTGCCTGTAATCCTCCCAGTTGTCGGTTTTTTTGGCTTTGTTAAAAAGCCTGCGAACCGATTTTCTGAGCACCGAGAGTTTACTGGTCCACCAAGGACAGCCCTGCCTTTTGGTGGTTTTCTTTAGTGGGCAACCGCAATGGTACGCGTCTATTATGAACTGGTTAGTCGCAACCAGCCTGCTCTCTAGTCCTCGCGGCGTAGCATCGCTTCCTACCTGCCTCACTCTACTGATATTTAACTCAAATGTCTCTCTGAAAACGTCCCATTTTGTATTTCTGGGAATACGGACTGGCAAAAGGTTCCTGACCTCCACTGCTGTGGTTGTCTCCCCTGGGAAATAGGACGGTGCAAGGACGAAGTCTGCACTTTCCTTGTCCTTCACCTGCACCGCGACCAAATCCTGCGTTAGGAACTCTGAAATACAGAAGAAATCAATATCGTTCCTGACCACTACACAAGACCGGGGCCTCTCAGATGAGCCCCTCTAGGAACTCTTGTGTGGAGGGTAGCTCCCCTTTACACTCCTTAACACCCATGTTTATTGCTCCTTCCGCGACAGCTGTAGTACCTTGCACCACCGTAGCAGTAGCAACCTGCTCGAGTGTGCCGGTACCGGACTGAGTGGGCGTCTCATCCACCAGCATTGCTTCCTCCGCCGTTCCTTCCGGCGGTGTGGTTTTAGGCCTCAACGGCCTCATTACCACACTGCTGAATCTAAAATTCAGCCTGTTGTAGGACTCATCATCGATGGTGAGGTTGAGCCTCCATCCGGCGTCCTCAATACTGCTGTCTACTACCCGCCAAGCCGATGTACTAAGCCCATCGTTTTGGTTTCGTATGAGACCAATAGCAAACTCGGAGGGTTTTCCTGCGCTCCTGGGAAGAAACACCGTCATGCTGTGCATAGCCGGTATGTCTTCGTCCCTCCTCGCGCATAGGACCGGGCCTTTCAATCCATTCAGCTTCGGAGCGATCTCCGCAAGCCAAGTGGCCGTCTTTTCGTCCTTGCAGTCGACTAGCAGCATTCCTGACCTGAAGTATGCACCATGGAATGAGCCGGTGTACCCACACCCATTGTATACCTCATTCATGATGCTATCTTGCACCGCTGTCGGTTCTTCTGACCCCAGGACCTCCGCCGGGTAGTTTCGTGGCAGCACCGCCATCCGGATGCCTTTAAGGGCTTCCGAATATTTGCGCTGATCACCAACAGCCGGGTTGGGATTTAGAGCAGGACGTGGTCCTCCGATCGCCAGTGGCTGATTCCCTTTTTGCCTCTTTGAATTTGGGGTTTCTTGAGGCGTTATCTGCCCGCTCTTCCTTTTCGCGGTTTGTACTGTAGCATTTCGTGGTTCCGCCCTTCCGCTCCCTCGTTTCCCAGGCGGGGCTGAATTATCTCGGCTGACCTTCTGCTTCTCACGTCCCGCGGCGGACGAGGCGTTTGCTTGTCTCTTCGCGGCCTTCTGGCGAAAGAGCGTACAGGAAGCTGAACTTTCGTCTAGCTTCTGAACCACTCTTACCTGCAACGGACGCGTTGCAGTCTGATGTTGTTGTCGTTGCCGTTTTAGGTGGTTGCTGTTGTTGTCGTCGTTGTTGCTCCGTTTTTAGGGTTTTTTGTGTTGGTTTGTTGTTGTTTTCGTTCATACTGTTTCTTACGACCCTTGGCTCAACCGGGTGAGCTTCCGGGTCTACTCTGTTTCAGGGGGTACGTTATGGTACGCCGCGTCAGAGCCCCTTGACGCGGTAAGGCCACAGTTACTTCCCAAGGCGGCCCGGTGTTGGGAAGGCTCCGTTGTAATACAGCCGAATTTACCTCCTGGCTGCAAATCATCCAATGTGCACGGGAGTCGCGTAACACCCTGGATTAGGAGGTGGCAGCTCTTTGTTGTCGCACGCATGTGGCTCCTGACAACCCGCGTGAGAGGTGCTAGACAGCACTTCTCACCCTGGTTGAGAGATGCCGAGAATGCCTTGCGACCTAAGCCCCTGCACCACGGCAAGGTGTCTGCCATTCGCAGGATGTTTGTTATGCGCAACCTGTTTTATACCCTCGCCACCCTAACTCACCAGAGGTGGCCATGTTGGTTTTATTGTAAACGTACGCCTCGGAGGTGGCGAAAGTATTGTGAATGGTCACTTTCGGTACTCCTTATACCAGGGATCTTACTAAACTGGTCGGGCTGCCATGATTCTAAGATGGTTTCTACTGGTTTTAAAATAATAAAAAAATCTAAGCGATATTCTGGTAAATTAAAACCATCGAAATAGAGAAGATAATATTATATTTTAATGTTTAGACTATAATACCCCTTTAGAGACAATATAATCACAACTAAAATTGAAATTTGACATTTTGAAAATTTTATCAATGCGCCAAGTGAAATAAAAAATATGCGAGATACTTGTAAAATCACGACAAAAATTACAACGCTTCATAAAAAGGGATTCGTGGTTTATGATAGTAACTATAAAACGTGTTAGTCTCTTCAGCAAACTGCCGGTTCTGTGACATGGAGCCGAAAACAGGGATGAAATGATGCGAAACTCTTTGATTCGAGAGAGAGCTGTCAAAACCCACAATTTTTATAACATTTGTCAATCCTGCCATCATGTCAAAAGAAAATGATGAATGGGTATTATAAAAAAAACTTTTGGGCATTTTGCATTTCGATATTATTTTAAGGTGCTCCGTTCCCGAGTAGGCCTATATAACGCATATACATCCCTAAATAAGTGTATTCCTATTATAAAATTTTTAAAACATCATTAAAATAGCATACAAATAAAAAAAATTATAACAAATAAACAATACAAGGCATAATAAAATATGATGGTTTTATGATGAACGTTTTATATTAAATTAGCAAACAAAATTTAGTTGCACGTTATTCAAAAGTATTTGTGTCGTTCCTTGAAATTTCGTTTCGCACTGCTTTTGTGAGCTATTTTTAGCGGGTTTATTACTGGCATCCCGCCATTTTTGACATCAGCTGTTCGAAATTCCCTGATTTTAATAATAAGGGAAAGAGAATAACAGAAAATTCAGCGAAAATGAGAGAGTCTCACATCATGTCATCCTTGAGATGACAGAGCACCTGCTAGTGGACTGCACAGCAGTCTGCAGACGCAGAATTATGGCCCTGGGATCCATGTTTCCAAACAGGAATCGCATCGCTCCACTAGCAACTAGCAGTATATTGAAGTTCATCTATATGCTAGGGCTAGATGAGTCGTAGTGACTTAGGGAAGGGCACAATAGACTATAAGTCGCGGTTCATACCTCTATCCAACCTATAGTAACTATAAAAGCCCATTTACATACAACTTTCCTCGCCTTATGTGACAGTTTAAACTGTAACAACGAAGCGAAGAAAACAAAGGGTATGCCATAATGAATGCTTTGCTTTCAGTTATGCTTGGCAAAGCGTAAAAAGATTAGATTTGTGCAACATTTGGCTTGACTTCGCGTCGAAAACTTTTTATATGAACGTAGTCATACAAAAACGTACATCGAACTATTCTATCAAAACAAATGTCGCAAAGCGAAGGAAAAGTTCTATGTGAAATGGTCATAATACTGCTGAATATGCAGTTGAAACCAGATTTTAAAGATTTTGGCAGATTATTTTTATGTTGAAAACAAAATATTTTTGTCTAATGTTTTAGTAACCCCAATAATTTAGATAACAAACTTATGTTGTAATTTTTAAAGGGAAGTTGTTGTTTAAGGGTAATGTGCATATTTAATGTATATTATATGTCATACGTTGTAATACGACTCTGTATTCAGCATATTTCAAGGAAAAAGCGTTATGACGCTTACGTGAGTTGGACAAGCATATTTATATGTTTTCATTTCATATTAATAGCCAATCAAGGAACTAGTTTTTTTAAACATAATATTATTTAAAAATCGGTAATTGGTGAAAAGAAACGAATAGTGCAAATTAAGTTATTAATTTATAATTTGAATACATTTTTAAATTTTATTTCATACTTGGCTTGTCCAGATTACCAGTCGGCGCCATAGCAGTAATGTCATCAGCAAAGCGGAAATCTGTGCCGGGAAAACGTAAACAAACAACACCAGAGAAGAGACGTAGGAGTGGACAATTAGAATATATTGCAACGGACACGGATTCTACAAGGAAATGTGAGACTAACGCAAAGCATCATGCATTGGATGATGCGAATATATCAGATGACGAAGAAGGTGGAACGCGAATTGGTGATATTTATATACCACCCCCAATAACACCACATTGTTCAACAGAAAGTAAAGGACCTCGTTTGATTATTAAAAAAATTGAAAATAAAAATTTTAAAAGCTATGCTGGTACAGTAGTCCTAGGTCCATTTCATCATGTGAGTAAAAGTTTTATTTGAAAATGTATTGTTTTTGATTTGTTTATAATTGTTAGTGTTTTACGGCCATAATTGGACCAAATGGTAGTGGAAAGAGTAACGTTATAGATTCTATGCTGTTTGTGTTCGGCTATCGAGCGAATAAAATTAGATGTAAGAAAATTTCTACTTTGCTGCATAACTCGGCTAGATATCCAAACATGTCTATGTGCTCGGTTGCTGTACATTTCCGTCAAATATTAGATAAGGAAAATGGAGAGTGTGATGAAATACATAACAGTGATATTGTAGTGGAACGTACAGCATTTCGGGATAATTCCTCTTACTATACGATCAATGGTCGACGAGTACAGTTTAAGGAAGTAGCGAAACTTTTAAAAAAACATCACGTTGACTTAGATCACAACAGGTTTCTAATATTACAGGTACGTTATGAAAAATATTTTTTTTTTTGTTTTTGTTTTTTTGCTTCCAAAATTGTTTCACTATTATATAGGGAGAAGTAGAGTCGATTGCAATGATGAAGCCGAAAGGACAAACAGAAAATGAATGTGGTATGCTCGAGTACATGGAAGATATTGTTGGAACAACACGTTATAAAGAACCTCTTGTCAAAATAAATGAACGTGTTGAGCAACTTACTGAAGAGAGAACAGAGAAACACAATCGCTGCAAATTGGCTGAACGTGAAATGAAGGATTTGGAACAACCATATACGGAAGCAATTGATTACTTGCGACTCGAAAATGAAAATACGCGTATTAAAAACTTACGCATACAAAAATATCTAAGTGAAAAAAACAAAAAACTTGAAGAATACAAGATAGAACACGAAGCCATTAGTACAGAGTTGAAATGTCATATCGAAGTATTTGAAAAGATAAAAACAGAAAGGGAAGTAAAGGAGGAATTAGTTCGGGAAGAAATGTCGTGAGTTTTATAAATTATATGTAACTCAGTTTAAAATTGCACAACAATTTTGTAATTTGTTTACTTTTTTTTTATTATAAGACAATTCGACTCGCTTCGTAAGAAGAAGGATGATATAGAAAAACAATGGGAATGTGCACATAAAAACTTTACCGAGGTTCAACAAACGATGGATATGACGAATAAAAGGCGTAAGCAGCATAAATCACAAATGGAAAAACTTAAAGATGAAATAATTGATTTAAGAAAAATACCTGAAAAAAATGAGAAAGAGATTGGTGAATGTCAGAAGAAGGCGGCAAAACTTACAGAAAATAAAGCTGATCTGGAGGAAGAGCTTCAAAAGAACTACATTTCACTGGAACAAATAACCAAACCGCTTATTGAAATACGTGAACAGCTGGAAACCGAATTGGTCGAGCTAAAAAAGTATGTCGACGAGGCTAAAGCCGTTTTGGCATTATCTGAATCGGAACTAAAAATTCTTAAACACGATGAAACGACGGAAACTCGAAAATATGAATCTATGAAAACGTCATATGATGAATCAAATTGCAGTTTAAAGGAAAAAATGTCGAACATTGAAGAAATTAAATGCCGGTTACCCAAAATACAAAGTGAAATTGTAGAAAAGACGCAATATTCGCAAAAATTACAGTTTGAAGAGCAAGAAATGCGAGAACAATTAATGACACTTAAGGCTGAAGTGTGTTCTTTTAATAGCATTGATATAATACCAGACAATAAGTTTTATGTATTTTAAAATTTCTTTCGACAGATAAATGAAAAGACTGTAAGCTTGCAAACATCGCGATCTAACAATAATGTTTTGGACTTTTTAATGAGACAAAAGAATGAAGGCAAAATTCAAGGAATTTTGGGAAGATTAGTACGTAAAGTATAAAAAATGTATTCATAACTTTTGGTCAGAATAACCAAAGGCGGTTTATTTGTCTTAATATTAAACGTTGATGAGTGATTAAATCTGTGTTCATCACTGGGACATATTAAACAGGCAATTTTTATTAATAAATTTATCATTTTCTGACAGGGTGATTTGGGCGCCATTGATTCAAAATTTGACGTGGCAATTTCAACAGCTTGTGGACGGTTGGATGACATCATAGTCGATACGGTTAATACTGCACAAGAATGTATTGAGAATTTAAAGAGTTATGATATTGGTCGTGCCACATTCATTGCACTAGAAAAAGTAAAACATTTAGAAAAACAATCCGGACGAATACAAACGTAAGTAATGTTGATTGCGCATAGCCATATACATTTCTTTATTATAATCTGATTTTAGTCCAGAAAATGCTCCACGTCTTTACGATTTAGTACGAGTAGAGGATGAACGCGTACTGCCGGCCTTTTATTTTGCCCTCCGCAATACGCTAGTAGCCAACGATTTGGAACAAGGTTCACGAATCGCTTATGGTACGCGAAGATATCGAGTAGTAACACTAAATGGAGACGTTATCGAGACGTCCGGCACCATGTCTGGTGGTGGTCGTACACAAATACGTGGAAAAATGGGAACCAAGGTACAAACTAAAACAAAGCAATCAGCAGATTCGTCAATGATATCCCAGAAAGCTTTAGAAGATATACAAGTTAAAGCCGAGGAATTGCAATCCCAAATAAATTACAATCAGGAGGTGCAAGGTCGTTTAGAACGCGAAGTGCAACAACTCAATTTAAGCAAACAAAAAAATGAATCGGAAATACAAAAACTGTGTATAACCATAAAAAGTTTGAAGGAACAATTGCCTCGTATTTTCAAACAATTGGAAGCACAAAAAACACGTATGGAGGGAACTACTACCGACGCAGCTAAAGTTAAAAATATTGAGGCTGCGATTGTAAACAAGCAAAAGAATTTGAGTAGTTCTGAAGAAGAGGCAGACAAAGTGGCTAAGAAAATAGCTCAAGTCAAGAAAGAAATTGAGAGCATACATGGTGATAAAGTGAAAGCTGTACAAACAAAAATTAACAATTTGGGAAACCAAATTAAGAAGCTAAATAATAATATATCTAAGTTAAAAGTTGAAGTAACTACTTCTGAACGCAATGTTATCAAAATGGAAAAACAAATTGAACAATTTAATGAGGATATATTAAAAGCGCAAGATGAACTGGTTGCGATGAGTACGAAGAGACAACAATATGACGATGAAACTGCGCAGCTTGTAAAAGAAATCGAAGAGGCACAAAAGGCCATTGAAAATGCTAAGAGTGAATCTTCGGAAATTCAAAAAGAAATTGTAGCTTTGCTAAAGCGCGAGGGTTTGTTCGTTTATCATATCCTTTTGGGCTGAATAGGCAATAGAAATTTTGAAGTATTTATTTCCTGTATGGTTTTACTTTAAAAATGTCATAATATAAAGACTAAATATTATTTATTCTCACAGATAATTGCATATGTTTAACCATGCAGGGAAGCAAGTACCCAAAATTAGCCTTCGCTACATATATTTATTGTATGTTTAATACATTTTTTACAGGGGAGTGGTCACTAAAACGAGTGGAAATTGACCAAAAACTTCAAACTGTTATTGCCAAAATATCTGACGTAAAATCCCAAATTCCGCACTGGCGAGATCAGCTTAAACCTTTACGTTTGCATGTTATTCCGGGGGACCAAGAACCGCAATCGCCTCTTAAAACGTACACAGAAGAAGAGCTTGCTGCACATACTCTACAAGATATCCAATATAAAGAGAGTGTTCAAGAGGAATTGCTAAAAAAAAAACCAAACCTCTCATGTATCGATGAATATATTGAAAAGCGAAATGTGTATTTGGAGCGCGTAAAAGTGCTAGAAGATATTACGTCAAAACGTAATGAAATGCGACAGCTTTACGATGATTTGCGAAAGAAGAGATATAATGAATTTATGCTAGGTTTCAAGATTATTACTCGCAAGTTAAAGGAAATGTATCAAATGATTACACAGGGTGGTGATGCTGAATTAGAACTTGTCGATTCAATGGATCCTTTTACCGAAGGTGTCAGTTTCAGCGTGCGGCCACCGAAAAAAACCTGGAAGAACATTTCAAATTTGTCTGGTGGTGAGAAAACATTATCTTCTTTAGCATTGGTATTTGCATTACATTACTATAAACCGTCGCCACTTTACTTTATGGATGAAATCGATGCAGCTCTTGATTTTAAGAATATATCTATTGTAGCACATTACATAAAAGTAAGTTTAAAATATGTATGTATATATATATAATATATATATATATATATAGTTGTCCACATAATAATAGGAGTGACAAAATGAAAAATATATTTGGGATTTCTGGATCACATGCAAGTGACGCGGTACAATAGCTGAACACTGAACAGGATATTCATATTAAAACATAAAAAAAATTTAATGTGAAGATTGTTATTCTTGTTCATTTTTAATAGTTTTCAGAGATTTTTGGAATTGCTTTCCACAAAAAAATAGGAGTATTAGACATTTCCTTACTAAAACAATCTTTAACTTAAAAAATGTTCGCAAAATTAGAAAAGTAAGTAGGGCTCCATAATCTAGCAGCAATTTGAATTAGTTATGGTAAATTTAATCATTTCATTTTTCTTCAGTGGGTAGATGACAGCATTCTACAGAGGTAAAGTGGGAAATGACAAAATAAAATTGAAAACTACGAAAATCGTATAAGGATATCCAAGAAATGGAAAGATATTTTGCCCAACCGGTAGCAAATAACTTAAATTATAGGAATAAAATGAAACAGATGGGCAAAAGGCCAAACATCCATTGTTGACGATCCCAATATATGACACTTCTGCAAAATTAATGTTTTTGCGTCAATAAATTTATCAGTTAATACTGAAACTCTTTGTAGAAGATTGTTACATAACAAAAAGTTCACGAAAAGAAATAGAACAACAAAGCATGTGTCCTGGCCAGTTTTAAATAGCAAAATTTATTTTAGTCAGATGAATCCAAAATTTAATTATTATAAGAGTTCTAGAAACTTGTGTGCCGTACCCCTAACATGAAAAATAATAGCTGATTTACAACAAAAACCGTCAAACGTGGCGATGCTAAAGTGGCGGTAGAGGTAGCTTTTCGCAAAGTGGAGTTGGTTGAATTCTTTTAAGTGAAATCCTTATGGATCAATTGAGACATATCAAAAGATTAGATAAGGTAAAGTTATCATATGCCTGATAGAAAATAGCATTTACATGGGTATACCAACAAGATAATGACCATAAACAGATCAGCAAGTGTGTAAAGAAATGATGTAGAGGCAACGGAGTCGAAGTTATGTCTCAGTCTATTCAGTCCTAAACCCCATAAAAACCCTTAGAACTGTTATGAAAAATAAGTCTTATTGAACGAAAACTAACAAATTTGAATGATATCTGGCAGTTACTAAAAGTGATTTGAGAAATATGACCATTTCAACATTGCCAAGATCTCATAGACTCTATTTCCAGGAAGTGTGAGGCTATATGAAAAAAACCAAAGCTATTCAAAGAAATATTAATTATTTTAATATTCAGTAAAGGCTTAAAATCATCTTAATTTAAAAATTTTAGAATTTTTCGTACTTTATATAATTCTCTTATTGTTGTGTTTTTTTTTTTAACATTAACTGTGATATCAAATTTTCTTTACGTTCAATTGAATCATATGGACTATGGATTTTTTGAAACTTAAAACATGTTTTTTTTTTATTAAAAATTTAAAAATTCGTTTTGTTAATGATGTCACTTTTATTTTTTTGTGGACAAGCGTATATATATACATTTTTTGGTTACTACAATTTTTTTAAAAATAAATTATTGTAGGAGCGTACCAAAAACGCACAATTCATCATCATATCCCTACGTTCCAATATGTTCGAGCTATCTGACTATATTGTAGGTATATATAAGGTAAAGGACTGTACAGATTCAGTTACCATCAAGAATGTGCCGCCACCATTGCCATTCCAAATGCAAACACAAGCCCTAACGCAAATGATAGATAAAAATTCTCTGTTTGACAAGCTTAAGGAGATAGTAAGTGATTCGCAAGAAATTGCATTAACACCAGTAGAGGAAGATTCCGAAAATGCGCCCCCCCTACTGAATTGTGAGACGTTATTTGTCGCGAACGCGCAAGGACGCGACACCACGTTTGAACCAAATTGCGAGAGTACTGCCCTATCACATATGTTGCAAAAGGACCTTGGTAACGATTCAGGTCGCGATACAGTATGCTCTAAAGCCAAAAGCAGTATTAATGATTCATTCTTTAAAAAACCGCTACCTCCCTCGCAAAAAGCAAACACATGAGCTACCCAACGGAAACGGAATTTTTAATTATATTTATAGCATTCTAAAATTAAAATTTTCGAGATGAGCAAATTAATTAATTGCACGACTTAATTTTTTTTTTGTATGACCGTAGTTATTTATAAAATCAGTATGTAATCTGCAAGTTTTGGTTAAAATTGTATTCTAGTATTTCATTAATTTTGGTTAAAAGGAAAAATAAATATATAAATTCCACCCCAAAATTTGTTTATTTTAACAAAGGTACAGAAATACACTCCGCAACGGTACAATATAGATAATACTTATTAATATGTTTGTTAAAATAAACCTTAATAACTTGAAATTAATGTATACAAAAACAAGAAAGTGTTGCTAATTTGGTTAGTTGTAAACTAACTAAAACTTTTTCAGATTTTCGTAAAATTTTATACCTAAAGACCTGCTCAGGCCTTAAGACATACCGATTGGACCACAAGTAATATGTTGCCATGCTGCCAATGTACAAGTGCGACACTAGTCTCTACGGCTGTGCGAATTGCACTTAGTTTGCGTACTGCGCCGCCGCTCCAGTCGAGTGGCCAACAAAGGATCTCTACGGTCCCAAATCTCTACGGTTCAACTAGGCAACATGACTCCAAGTCCCCGGGTTGGACTCGATGCCAGCACGGGTCAAAGGGATGCGAATGCGCCCTGCTGCTAGGCGCTGCTCCAATGACGACAAACTTAAACTAACACTTACCGATCAAAACGGTTAGATCGCCGAAATAACAGCCCTTGGCCGGATAAAATCCGGTAATGTAGAACCGGCTGTTGTGGGAATTGCATTCAGACTGGATCTGAACATTTGAGTCGATGGCATAAAAATTTAGATAGTCAACAACCCTAAAATTAGGCGTTACATTAGACAGTCTGTGCTCCTTCACTCCTCATGCGACCGCGATAACTGCCAAAATACAGAGCCGCAACAAAATCCTCAAATCGCTTTCAAGCAACTCTTGGAGAAAAGACAAAGAAACGTTGTTGGCAACATACAAGGCAATCGGCCGGCCGGTCCTAAACTATGCATCACCAATATGGTCGTCTGGATGTAATGCAACGCAGACAAAGAAGCTTTATGCTTGTCAAAACACTACATTCCGGACTATCAGGGGATGCCTTTTGATGTCCCCAATAGAACACTCGCGTAGTGAGGCCTTTATGCTTCCGGTTAAGGAACATATTGAGCTTCTACCTGCAGTCGTCTGCTTGAAGCTGAACCGCCTCCTAGGAACATCAAGAGGGCCTCCCTTGATTACGTCGACGACATCAGACAGTACGCCGACCGGACTTCGGACGCAACGAACTTTAGACAAGCACTGACCGCCATTCACAGTGGAGCCATCAACACCTTCATCGACTCCCTCTCAGTGAATGGCTTACTAGGAGTTAAACCACTACCCTTAGCAGACGTAGAGCTCGAGTTGCTTCGCGAAACCAGAGTGATCCTCGCGCGACTTCGTTCTGGATATTGTAGCAGGTTAAACTCTTACTTATCCAGAATAGACACCGACATTCCAAACATATGTCCTGCGTGCAATGAGTCTCCGCATGACCACCACTTTGCATGCCCAACAAACTCAACGCATTTAACACCTTTTACCTTATGGTCTGACCCCGTCGACAACCAAACTATAATTTATCATACAAGCGGGGACTAGATAACCGTTACAACAACAACAACAATTCCAAATCATCTACTACCGCGATTATTGCTAAAGTAAAAAACCGCAACAAAATTCTTAAGTCGCTAGCCGGCAGCACCTGGGAAAAATACAAAAAAAAACTTTGTTGGCAACATAGAATGCAATTGGTCGGCCGGTCATCAACTATGCAGCATCGACAAGAGCTTCAGAGGTGCCAGAACACTGCAACCCGGACGATAACATGATGTCTCACATGGAACTCCTACATAGTAAGGCCTGCATGCTTCCGGTTAAAGCACACAATGCATTTCTCTCCAAGCAGTTTCTGCTAGGGTGATTTAACCCTTTCCAGCGTGCAACCACCTCTCTTTGCTTGCCTAATGAATCCCGCTCATCTAACATCCCACTCCCTATGGTCCGGTAGTCCCCGGGTGCGGATGGCATCCTTCCAGCATTTCTGCAACAGTGGGAGCAGGTCCTACTGGCCCACCTTGTTCAGCTGATCAGGGATAGCCTAGCGCTGGCATATATCTCAGAACCTTGGCGCACTGCAAAGGTGATCTATATACCCAAGGTAGGAAGGAAAGACTATTCGTTGGCAAAATCCTTCAGGCCAATCAGTCTAACTTCCTTCGTACTTAAGAGTATGGAAAAGATCATTGATCACGAAATACGATCGAAGGTGCCGAAGGCTGCACCGCTACATGGGAAGCAGCATGCTTACAGAGCAGGTAGATCAACTGTATCAGCTAATCTCAGAGATCCGAAGTTCGTTAGGGGCGAGGTGTTGTTATGCGTCTTCCTAGACATCGAAGGGGCTTTTGACAATACGTCTAACGAAAGCGTGTCAAAAGCACTAGAGAAAAGGAGTGTGGCAGCACCGGTACGTAGATGGATTGAAGCCGTACTGCGCACCAGGGTAGCTGAAACCACAGTAAGCAATACCAGAATTCGTCTTGGCACAACAAGAGGTTGTCCACAGGGTGGAGTGCTATTCCCCCTACTTTGGAGCCAAGTTTTGGACGATCTTCTCGAGCTTCTAACCAGCTATTGAATAGGCTGTCAGGGATATGCGGACGATATTGTTATCTTAGCCAGGGGTAAGTTCGTAGACACTCTGCGATATTGTACAAAAGAGATTGGGGCTGGCAAAGGGGTGGTGTAGTGGGGTTGGCTTCAACATCAACCCCTCAAAAACTACAATCATACCGTTTACCAGACGAAGGTTACTTCCAGGCCTCAGAAATCTATCAGTCATCTAGGCCTCCCTCTGGATTCCACTCTACGGTAGAAGCAGCATGTGGACCTGACCTTGAGCCAACGCTACGAAAGCGCCCATGGTGTGCAATCTACTTGCACATGGGGCGGCAACCCGAGGATTGTCAGATGGTTGTATACCAAGATTGTGAGACCGATCATAATATATGGAGTGGAGGCTTGGGTTTCCAAAGCATCGCTGACTTCGGTAGGACTTCAACTATTGAAGCTGCAACGACTTGCCTGCATCTGCGTGTCGGGCGCGATGCGTACGTGTCCGACTGGAGTACTGAAAGTAGTGTTGGAACTCACACCGTTACATAAAGTGATCGAACAGACGGCCAAACAGACTCTGCTTCAAATGACAGCAGAAGGGCTTGACAAAGGGAAGATAATCTCGTCCCAATAGATGAAGGTCCTAAGTGACAAAATGCCACTATTCCTTCTCTCAAGGGACAGCATTGCCAAAGTACAATAGTAAGCTTCACTAGGAAGTTCAAAGTTACCCTTGGCATTTTCCAGGCCAAAGTATATGCTATAAGTCAGTGTGAAGAGATAAACCTCCAACGCAATTATTGCAATAAGAGTATTGCCATACTCAGCGATAGTTAGGCGGCACTAAAAGCGATCTCCGCTTATGAGGTCAGATCGCTACTAGTGCAGGAGTACATAGAATCATCAAATCACAACAAAGTGTACCTCATTTGGGTGCCTGGTCGCAAGGGTATAGCCGGGAATGAATTGGCTGACGAGTTGGCCCACTCTGCAGCCTCCACAATAATGATTGGACCAGAACCGTGCGTAGCGGTTGGTCCACACACCATTAACAGGAGGAACAAATTCCGTCTGCTTCTCGCGTTCTACACCGCCAATATTCTATTCCACATGAGCTTAGTCTCTTCTGCAAACTGCCGGTTGTTTGACATGGAGCCGGAAACCCCAGAACAACTGGTAGCAGACGCAGAATTAAGGCCCATGTTTCCAAATAAGGATCACATCGTTTCACTAGCACCTAGCAGCATGTTGAAGTTCATCTATATGCTGGGGCTAGATGAATCGTAGTTACTTAGGGGAGGGCACAATAGACCATAGGTCGCTGTCCATACCTCTATCCATATCGATCTATCTATCGACCGCGTCGAACAAGTACGTTTCCTGGACCTCCCATTAGATGACTTCGATGACAACAAACTTTAACCTTACCACCCAAGCGGGGGTTAGATAACCGGAACTCCTAACTTTTGTAGGGGATTCGGCAGGCCATATTTATCCACAAACTAGTACAATGTCTGGACTTCCAGACGATCAATTATCTGCAGCTATGAAACCAGGATATTGCTTTTAAGCAACAACTGGATGGTTTTTATCTTTTGTGCGGGATTAGAATATTGTTGAAAGATCCAACGCTCTTCTTTGAAGAGCGTATTGCTTAACTGCTTTACCACGCCTTCTAAAACATCCTGCTTGTACACCCTTGCTTCAGTTATAACCCATTTTGCACAGGTGAAGAAGTGTAACGCCTTTACAGGTGACATCGTTTAACCCTTGGACTGACATTTTTTACGTCTTTGGAAATTTTTGCAAAGTTTTTGTTAGGATACTTTCATGGTGTTTTGAGAAGCTAGTAATTTTAACTTGTGCTTTCTGTAGATGCGGAATAAAGGCCCTCGGATCTATATATCCGAATAGGAATCACATCGCCTCAATATCATCCAGCAGGATACTAGAATTTATTAGTGTGCTGAGTCTATGTGATTCGTTGTGACAGAGGGGAGGGTAAAATAGGCTTAAGGTCGCGGTGCAAGCGTCAATTTATTTCTATCAATCATTAGTGTGTTATCTCATTACGCGGAATATTATTTCTTACATAAACATATTATAAAATTTCTATATTATATATTAATTATAGTGCTTTTCTCCTCTTTCTAACTTGAGAAAAAGAAAATTGTGCTATTATACAATTTTAGATCCAAACACCTATAATTAAAATGAAATAAATATGTATATATCTTTATTCACTCTTTATTCTATTATGTTTATTTTATATAAACTTGAATGCACTTCTTAAATTTTTAAACTCTCAACAAGCTTTTGACAGATAGTATCTAAAGCTTCTGTAGTTGAATTATTTATGTTAGTTATATCTTCACCCAAATCACAAGCCTTAGTCACTTCAGGATCTAATGGCAGTGCACCTAAATAAGGTACATTCATTTCCGAACACATCGCTGCTGCGCCACCTGTTTTTGCTGGAAATATTTCAGACGTTTCTCCACAACTTCTACAACGGAATGCAGACATATTCTCCACCACACCCAATATAGGCAAATTCTGTTTCTTGCAAAAATTTATTTCTTTTCGCACATCCAATAAAGAAGCTTCTTGTGGTGTTGTTACTATTAAAGCTTGTAAGGCATCGGGAGCCTCATTGTTTCGCAAATATGACACTATACTTAAATGTTCATCTGAAGTTCCAGGTGGTGTATCCAATAGTAGCAAATTTAATTTTCCCCAATCTACTTCACTCAAAAATTGTTTGATCATGCCATTCTTTTTAGGACCGCGCCAAATTATGGCATCATCATGTGAACCGAGCAGAAAGCCAATTGACATAAGGCATAAATTGTCATCCACACCAACTGGTGACCATCCAGAACCCGACTGGTGTACATTTTCTCCCTCAACACCAAGCAAACGTGGCTGCGATGGTCCACAGATATCAACGTCCAACACTCCAAAATTATGTTCGGGGTATCTGCGGGATAGATAACGTGATAATAAAGTGGTGACAGTACTTTTACCAACGCCACCTTTGCCGGAAAGGACGAGCAGTTTTTGTTTGACTTCACACATTGCCTCAGCTACTAGAGCTTTTCTAGGATCTTCCAATTTGATATTTGGGTTACTACATAATGCTTGATTGGGGCAACCTGCACAAGCGTTAGACTTTCCTGCACTTTTTGTACCCACACCCGGACAGTTATCCGGTTCAGCTTCCATTGTTCGTCCGGCCAGGTGAAATTGTCTATATAAATGTAAAAACTGCTAGTTAGCTGAAGAACTCCCGTGTGCTTTTTCTATTTGTTATCAATCAAGTTTTTTAATAAACCTACCAATATGACTGCCTCTTGTTTTCAACAGCGAGAATTTAACCCATTGTATAAATCTACAATATATATAGGCTTATACAATGATTTAAGCATGGTATTATGGTATAAGCGGTGTTGCCAGAAAATTTTTCGAGAGCCACTAGCAAGGATGACATAATTCGAAATCTCTCATTTTCGCTGATTTTTCTGTTATTCTCTTTCCCTGATTATTAAAATCAGGGAATTTCGAACAGCTGATGTCAAAAAAGGCGGGATGCCAGAAATAAACCCGCTAAAAATAGCTAACAAAAGCAGTGCGAAAAGAAATTTCAAGGAACGACACAAATACTTTTGAATAACGTGCAACTAAATTTTATTTGTTAATTTAATTTAAAACGTTCATTATAAAACCATGATATTTTATTATGACTTTTCAGACTATTTCTTTGTTATAATTTTTTTTATTTATATGCTAATTTTTTATGTTATATGAATTTTTAAAAATTTTATAACATAAATACAAGTATATAGGGATGTATATGCGTTATATAGGCCTACTTGGGGACGGAGCACTTAAAAATAATATCGAAATGCAAAATACCCCCAAGTTTTTTTTATAATACCCAATCCATTTTCGTTCGACAGTGGCATGATTGGCAAATGTTATAAAAAATGTGGGTTTTGACAGCTCTCTCTCGATTCAAAGAGTCTCGCATCATTTCATCCTTTCCACTAGTGTCGACTCTGAAAGGACTAAAAGCCCACTAGCGCTCTCTCCAAGCTAAGCTAACTAATTCAAATATATAAAATAAGAAGGAAAGGAAAGCAATTATGTTAAAACTATTTTAAATAAATAATTATTTTTAATTAAAAACCTTTTTAAAAATATAAATGATAAAAAAATGTCGCTATTAATATATCAAATATAATTTCAAGCTATTTAACTAATAATCTCTATTCAAATTTTTTCAATTATCCCTTTTTTAATTTGTGGCTAAAAATATGATCTTCTTCTGAAAAATCTTCTAGCTGATTTTCTTGAGATCAGTATGCATCTTTAGTTCTAATTTGCCGAACGATATGATCTGGTATAAAAAAACACTAACCACTAAAATTTTTTTTGCCCACTAGGGGAAGAGTAAAACCATTACTTTTAGTGGTAAGACCACGAAGTTAGCAACATTGGGTATAAGGAAGTAGCGAAAGTGCCCATTCACAGTACGTTCACAATAAAACCAACATGGCCGCCTCTGGTGAGTTAGGGTGCCGAGGGGTTAAAACGGATTGCGCATACAAAAAACGCCGTAATAATATTAATAATATTTATAATTATTTAAATTTTGGTTATAGAATGATGTTTATTATAATAATTAATTTTTAATTTATTAATGGACAAACTGAAAATTTTATTTAACTATGACGGAAAGAAATGACTATTGTAACAGAATTTTGTATTATAAGCGATCACCATTGTCATACAAGTCATAATAATTAATTTAAACAATAAAGCAAAATTTATCATTGTAGATATATCAAGAAATATTTACGGAGCCGAAGTTTTCTGTAATGTAGCTTATATATCAGCATCTAGCGATGAAAATATGCGCAGTATTTTATTACAACTCTTTATATAAAAACATACCATTATATTATATAGTTCTTAGTTTAGTTTTTAAATATATAGACTTCTAAAATAAATAATATGTTGAAGTTGCAATATGTTTATAGTATAAAATACGGTAGGTATACCAGGTAGCTGTCTCTGTATTTCAGCATGTACCGATTAAAATATGTACAATATTTTATTATTACTCTTTACATAAAAAATAAAAATATTATTATATAGTTCTAAGTTTAGTTTTTGAATACATAGACTTCTTAAGTTGAAGTTCCAATATCTTTAAAATATAAAAGACGGTAGATATATTCCTTGCCTAAAAAGTAGTTTAAAATTAGCTTACGCAACACTGTTACGCAATGTCAACAGAGAACGTATATTATAGAGAAGGTTCGTTTGCGCATTGTATATATACGAATCTGTAAGCGTACATTTCTTAACATTGAAATTAGCATTACTTTTCTCAATTAACATTGTTAATGCTCAATTTGCTATTTTTCAGTCCCCTGATGTTAATTGTGGCCAATAATTTTCTGTGTGAAGCGTGTTTCATTTTCAGTACCACTTCCAAAAAAGGTGAAACACGCTCATCGTTTTCAGTTCCCCTGAGAAAAGTGAAATATTTCGATAATGGCCGCACTGTTAACCTTCTCTATAATCTACATTGTATAGCCCACAAGTAGCCAAAGAATCAGCTGTTTTGCTATGTGTATGAAACAACCTTATCGAATATGCCTTTTTTTGACACAGAGTTTTAAATAAAAGCATGTAGTTTAACAATTTGTTTATGAACATGTATTTGTAATGGAAATAATAATGAAAACTTTCAAGAAAATTTTCGAAACAAACGATTATTATATATTTATTGCTTTTCTTCACCACCTCTGAGGTTGCAATATAGGCGCGTTACGGATCTTTTTTGAGTGTTCGGTTCCCCAGGACTGAACCGGTAAACTTAGAATTTAAATATTCAACAGACAAAGAATTTTCACTCACAAAAACATAAACATGTAAGTTAAAAAAGATAAAATTGGAAACATTTAATAATATTTCAATACAATAAATAATAATTTAAATAATACTATGTAAATTTAATCTTTAGGAATTAAAACAACCGAAAAATATTTGAATATGGAACAAAAACATTCTTAAAGTTATAAATTTTAAAACATAACACGGGAACATATGAAACTATAGCAGATTTCTGTCATTTGGACGTTTTAGTAGTAGAATATTGGTTGGCAACCCGTACCAAGTGTAATTTTAGTAGTAGAATTTTCGGGGCAACTCGTACCAAGTGTGATATTTTTGCGTATGTATTAGTGAAAATCTTAGGATTGGTTACTTGTAGATTTATACAATGATAATCCACATTCTCTGACTTTGGACGATGGTTAGCATGGATAAAAATATACCAGAGAACGTTTATCATAGAGAAGGTTCCAGGGGGCCAGCGTAGGAATTGTCAAATAATAATAATATGATAAGTGGATTTCACCACAGTTAGCTCGGAAGGAAAAATTTTAACAGTGGCGCGTGAACAGAACTGAGTATTTAATACAAATTATGCTCCGAGACTTGATATTACAGCTGAATATTAGCTTTTTGGGTTATATTTTTATGCGATTATATGCAATCGTATTTATTGATATGCAATTCCTTTTCTAAATATCTATTAATTCATGAATAATTGATTACATTTAAATAAAAATATACTATTTCAAAAAAATTTTTGTAGTAAATGTTTAAATATTACCTACTTATTAAATTTTGCTTATGTTTGATAATATTGTAACGGATTTCTCGATAAATCGTCTACCTGTAACTCACTCTTGAGTTCGATCACTGGATTGTTAAATAAAAGTCCCAATTTAATGGCTACACACTTATCTTTATTTCTAAATCCAACAACTTAACACTTATTGCTCGTTATTCAAGCTTACAACTTCTTGCTTATAGCTTAATTGCTCTTATCACGACAACACTCTAACTAGAACTGTGTTTGCTGCACAATCCGCAGCCCTTATATAGTAAATCTGTAACAAAACATTGCTTCCAGAACATTCTGGCAACTACGAATTCGCTAACTAGTTGCTTCTGGCAGTTTATCGTTGATTCGATTTTGTTCTATCATCCGTGTTCGTCACAATATGATGTCTGTTATGTTTATACTAAGTTGCAGGTCGCAAAAAATGATTGAAGGACTCAGATGCTCGACTAATGATGTCCGAAATGAGAAAAAACAAGCTACTGACACCAAAAGGGGCTTCTCTGGTCATTAACAAAAAAGTTAGTGAATGGACTGCTAGAAGAGCGCTGCGAGGCATCGGATATATTTCAAGTGCGAAAAACTAAACCAGCATTGTCCGATAAGAATATTAAAGCGCGTTTAAAATTTGCAAGGCAGCATCAAAATTGGACCATTGATGATTGGAAACGTGTTGTATGGTCTGATGAGTCCAAATTTAACCCTTTTCAGTCAGACGGAAAGCAATACAAGCTGTTAAACATGGCGGTGGAACTATTATGCTTTGGGGATGCTTTACATGGTGGCATGTTGGTCCTCTTCATTTAGTAGATGGTATCATGTGAAAAGAGAACAATCTTCAAATTCTGTTCCCGAACAAGAACTCTTTTTTCAACACGATAGGGATCAAAGCACACAGCAAAACTTGTAAAGGAATGGATTGGAAAACAATATTTTATATTGATGGAGTGGCCAGCACAAAGTCCCGACCTCAATTCGATTGAAAATCTTTGGTCAATAGTGAAAAGACGGATCGGGCAGTACGAAGCAGCTCCAACAAACATGGGCAACCTTTGGGATCTTGTAACAGCAAAATGGAGTCGAATTCCGAAAGATATTATTGAAAATTTGGTAGAGAGCATGCCAGACCGCGTAAAAGAAGTCATTTCCAATAAGGGTCTATGGACAAAATATTGAAATCTATTTAGTTATTGAATTTTTTTTAAACGTGCAAAATTGAGTTTATGCGTGTTTTTTTTCGTTTTTTCTTTCAAACTATTAGAATTTTTCTCATTTGTTTTTGTTTCTTTACTAGAATTTGTTACGAATTAAATAATAAAAAAAAAGTGGATTTGCTTGTGTGGTTATGTTTTTATAGGTGATGAAAGTCAGTTTTGTAAACATGGACTCAATTCTACTCGCCACTGTATATAACAATAACATTTTTATTTTGTAATACTTTAAAGTTAGAAATCTCCATTAAATCAGATATAGTCAATCGTCCGTGTTCATTTTCTTATCTCATATAAATGTAAAATTGCATTGTTTAAAATTCATATTTTGCCATAGCTATTGTATGAACCATAGTTTGTAGTTCAGTTAATAAAAACTGATATTTCCATTCCATTAAATATCTAACATGTGAATTTTCGTTTACATTTTTAATTGTTTTTGTTAATTGACTGATAATTTTAAAAATTTCAGAGTTTGTTGTGTATTGTTTATTGTCATTTTCCATTCATTCGTTTAACTAATTATTTATTAACACTAAATCGTCATGATCTGGTGATCCTGCTATCCATTTCCATAGTGTCCCTAATTCCCCTGTATATCTATATTTTTGAT